CACTTTGAAATTCTTGTATTCTTTTCTAGCATGCACGCTGCAAGAGCCCGCGCACCGCATCGGGCAGCAAGTCGAGGTGCGCGGTCGACTGCCGCGCCAGCCATAACGACGCGAGCTCCGACATGGCCGGCACGGTCTGCAGAAGGGTCGCGAGAGCGTCGACATCCTCGTCGAGCGCCGCGGCCTCGATCGCCGCATCCAGCAGCGGCTTCCACACGCCGTCACGACTCGACGGCCAGTGCGTGCGGAGCACATCGCGCGCGCTCTCGTCCATGGCCTGCACCACGAGCGGCCAAAACGCTCGTCGACGGTGGCCCGACGAGCGATGGACGCGCTCGAGGAGCCAGAGCGCTTCGGACGCGTGGAGGACGACCGGTAGCAGTGTCGTCGTCGCCTCTTCGATCCACGCCACGCTCTCCGTATCCCGAGCCACGCAGTGGCTTGTCCAGAGCTACACCATCAAATCTTATACGCGTCTCGCATGCAGAGTCGTCGTACCACATGGAGCAGCTGGGTCGCCAGCGCCGTATGCCGCAACGCGAGCGTCGTCACTTTGTCCAGAAACGCTTTGGCCGACGGCAGAAAGAGCTGCGACACACACATCCAGCTCAGATCCAGCACCAGCGGCAAGAGCTGCGTCACGAGCTGGTCGTCGCCCGCGAGCCGCTTGCGCTTGCCATGGCCACTGGGCAGCGCATGCTCAAAGATCGTAAGCAACACGCGCGGCGGGTCAACGTCCAGGAACGGAAACACGACCGCGCCGTCGCCAAGCGGCGCCGTCTTCTTGTACTCGGCGACGAGGTCCTTGGCGTTGGGCACCGCGAGCTGGAGCCGCACCGCGACGAGGACGCGACACAGCCGCGGCAGCACCGGCGCTTCAAAGCTCTCCCAGAGCCGCTCGAGCGTTTGCGTGAGCTGCTGCACGATCTGGACGAGACTCGCGTCGAGAACCCACTCGCCAAGCGTCGCGTCGCTGCAGAAAATCACGTCCAAGCACGCGAGCACGAGGACCGGGTCCATGATCTCGGCCTGACTACACCCCACGCACACCGATATATAGTGTCAGGATCATTGTGGACGATAAGGCACGTACGACTGCATGGATTCGACCAGCGTGTCGAGAAAGGTCGGTAGCTGTCCCCAGTGCTGCAGACTGTGGAGGATGCCCGCCAAATATGTGCGCGATGACGTTTCCGTGAGCCCTTCGAGCTGCGTCAGTGCATGGTAAATCAAATCGCTTTGCAGCGTCGTCGGTAGCAGCGCAATCACGTGCCATAGGCGTGCGGTCACTAGATCACACATACACAGGGATATAGATGAAAGGCTCTACCTCTCTTGTCGTTGGCCTCAAACACGGCCGCGATGTCGGCCGATTTGATCTCGGTCGTGAGAAACGTGACACATTCGCTGTACCGAGGATCGTGATAAAGCGGACCCGCGACGCTCTCCAGCAGCGTCTTCATGACGTCGCAGAGCAGCGGCGCGAGCTCGGCCATCGACGCTTCGCCCAAGCACTTGAAGAGGAGCACGACGAGCTTGCACACGGACCCAATCGACGCGAAATGATGCACGTTTTTGTAAAACACCAAGCTCGCGTGCGGGTGCTTCTCGATTAACGAGAGAGCCCGCGCGACTTGGGACGACCCGGGCACGCCTTGCGGAAAGTACGAGTTGAGAAAGAGCTCCGTGAGCGGCTTGGCAACCGCGGTCCGGGCCTTGTCGAGTTCCAAGCGCTTGAAGCAGTGCTCGAGCGACACGACGTCGTAAAAGTGCAGGCCGCGAATGCTCTTGACGCGGACGAGGAGCCGGGCCATGGCGGCGCGCACCTTCTCGTTCGTGTCGTGCATCAACGGCGCCAGCTAGCCATGGGACATGAATTTTTCCGCCATTTTTACAAGTTTTTTTTTCATTTCAAAGGCGCGACATGTCGCAAGGGGACGCGAGTCGTGTACCTTAGGCAACAAGGGCTTGAGCACATGGTGACTGAGATGGTTCTCAAGCACGACAAGGAGACCATCAAAGACAGCGACGCGGACAGAGGGCGACGTCACGTCGTGGGCGAGCTCGAAGCATTTGAGCAGACACTTGCGGATCGTGTCGACCGGCAGCAGTTCCCAGTACATGGATAGCACCTATCACCAAAATATTCATATTGATACCTTGATACAAAGACAATCAACCTTGCAGATGCCGTGGATGGCGACGATGCGGACGCTGGGCGCCGCGTCTTCAAGCAGCATGGCGAACGCGTCAAACTGCCGCTGGAGACACGCGTCCAACTCGACTTTGAGGAAATTCGGGTCTTGGTACGGGAATCCGTCGAATAAGAGCACGGCTGCATGGTGGCGCACCACGTCATTCGCGGCGTGGAGGGCCCGCCACAAGATGGGCTCGGAGAGCCGGTAGAGCATGTCGTCCGTGTGGCGTTTGTGTTCGAAAAAAGGCTATGAAAAAATTAATTGCAGACAACTTGTCCATCCAGCGAGTTTCCACGAGGTGCTGACGCGTCGTGTACCTGGAGGAGTGCGCGGAGCGCGTTGAAATGGCTCGTTGACGCGGCAAATGTCGCTGCTTGGAGAAAAGCCTGGATGCAGTCGTCCTCAATGTGCACGAGGACCGGCGACGCCGGCTGCGCGGCCGCCGTGAGCCAGGCCTTTGACAGAGCGTTGTTGGTGGTTGGTAGTAAGAGAAGCGTGTCGTACATGGTAGTAGACTAGGCCAAAGCGCTGGACGACGGCCTTGCGTTGGTCGGGCAGCTGGTTGCGGATCGTCTCGTGGATCTCATGTACGAAGCTCGCGTCGATCTGAAAGAGGTCGCTGAGGAACGCAATGCCTTCGGACGACTTGAGGAACGACGTCGTGACAAAGCAGCGCAGCAAGAGGTCCTTCAAGAGCCTATATTCTTTCGTGAGGGCCAACGTGCAGACGCGTCGCGGACCGAGAGCTGTCGTCGTCAAAGTCGAGAAGCTGCAGTGCGTCCTGCACGGCGCTGAGGCGCTTGATAAAGCCAACGCTCTGGTCCGCTTCGCTCTCGAGCGCGCGGACGAGAAGGTACGGCAGGAGCTGCGTGATGACGCGCTCGGCGCCCGACGGGCTCGACGCCCAGTACGCTTCGCAGAGCTTGGCGATCACGTCCTGCGTGTCGGCGCTAGCACGTCGCATGAGCCTCTATCGTCGCATGCGGCTACGAAGAGATACCAGGTCGTCTGGAGCAGCTGGTCGTGGAGGTCGGCGATGACGATTGCGAGCCGGTCCAGCACGCGCGTCGCAAGCTTGCACGCTTCGCGGTGCTCGTACAGCAGCGACGTGAACGACGCGATCGTCCAGAGGTCCACGGTGGTCGCGGCCGGGAGGCTGCTGCAGAGCGCGACGAGCTGCGCTGTCGAGAGCGTCTCGAGCCACTCGACCCACTCGCCCATCGTATCGTCGTCGCCGTTGCAGTCGGCGTAGAAGGCCTGGAGGAGCGCGTCGCTCGACTTGGTCGTCTCGAGGGCCGCGAGGCCGGCAACCAAGGCTGGGCGCACCATCGTCTTGTGATGCCGAAAACAAGCGGCTTGGCATGCCACTTTTAAACCGGCCTGTATCCGGATTTGACCGGATAACCGAATTCGAACGGCCGGTTTTCGCGCCAAGCGCAACCAACGAGACGTGACCTGACACCAATGACCCATGCCAATGACCTGACACAATATTGTACAATGACCTGACACAATATTGTCGTATAGTAACGTTACTAGACCAACGACTAGGCTCACCGGCCAACCGTCATACCGTCGTGGAGGTCTCGAAGACATCGACGCATTTGCCAAGACCGTCACATAGATCTTGGCCGTCGCACGCTCCATGGTCGATGGACCGGAGCACGTCTTCGGCGTTGGCAAAGCCGTCAATGGGGCATCCGCCACCACTGCCAGTGTACCTGTCGGGAATGTCGCATTGACTTGCCTTCGGTCGGCATACCGTTGTGGACGCCTTGGGCGCACGGCGCTCCAAAGACTCCAAAGAGTGATATCTTCCTTGGGTGTGTCATCTACTTTAGTCGTAGCGCTGTATAGCGCCCTTCACCAAAAGGATATTCGTCGTCCCCAAACAATATTTTCCACGTTAAAGTCACGGCGTTAACACTTTACAAAGCTACCAAGGATGAGCGCGGTCTCGATCTGCCTGCTCCCATGGCACTCGTCGATCGACGGCCTTGGTCGACCACCCGACGACGACCACGCAGCTCTTGTTGTTATATGTGTCGATCACTGCGTCAATGCGATGTTGAAGATCGAGCAGCTCGTGTGTCGAGAGCACCTTGGTTGGCACACGAGCATCAGCGAGCACGAGTCGATCCCCAAAGAGCACCAGCGACGAGATATTGGTCCAGCCCAGGCATTGGTCGCGGTCGAGCCACGAGAGATGCGCCATCTCAATCACGTCCATGGCTGACGTCTGCGACGGCTTGGCGAGGCGCGCGGCGTCGGGTGGGAGCCCAAAGGCCGTTTGGATTTCGAGCAAAAGCAGGTCGATCCAGTGCGTCCCAGGCAAGAGCGTTGAAAACGCGATCGCGATTTCACGGCCAAATGTGAGATGCGCTCGGTCAAAGAGCACGATCGAGACGAGCATGTTGGCGGCGCCACGCGGCTCGAGGGGCTCGAGCATCTGGACAGCAAACGACCGGTTCTCGTAGAGGGACAGCGGCGACGCCTCGCCGAGCGTGCCGTCGTCGGACAGGACGCGCTGGAGACGATGGTTTGGCGACAGGTCCATGAGCCACAAGCGCTTCGCGCGGGGGTGCTTTAAGACGGCGAGGATGCGGGCCTTGATCTCGCTGACAAGCATCTCGGCCGAAACCACAAGAGTTGTGCAAAATGACAGTGCGTGCGTCAACGGCCAGACGTGTCGCACGAGTTTTGACGGACTCGTCGTGTCGGTGGGCCTTGGCGTGTAGAGATGAATCTGGACTCTGTACTGGCCGGCTCGCAGCGGCACCCCGAGCTCGATCCACAGAGTGGATTGGTCCATGAGGGCTAGGTGCAAAAACGACGCCACGAGGTGCTTGAGCTCGGCGCCCTTGCTAGCGCCGCGCCGCAGCGTCAACGTATCCGACCGCTGCCCAAAAAGGTGCAGAGTTGATCTTTGAGCACTTGGAGAGGTCGCCGGCGGTCGACGGTGAACGGCCAGCCCATCGCGTCACCCTCGATGTTCTTGGCGCGTAGCAGCTTGGGGTCGTTTGTCTGCACTTGGACGGTGATCGAATTGGCGCGGGCCTCGAAGAGCTCCTTGGCGAGCGACGGTGATGACGCGAGATCGTCGACGGCTTCGACGTAGATGTTGCTGCCATCGCGGAGGGACAGATCTGTGCGCAATGTCTGCTGCAGCGTCGCTTCGTCGTGATGCGGGTTGAGAATTCGTGTCGTGATGGCCCAGTAGCCCGTTGAGCGCATCTCAAGCAGCCGCAGGTGATCTCGATTCATGTTGAACTTGGCGCTGAGCAGCGTGACCAAGTCGTCGAGTCGCGCGTTACCCGGGAGTTGCACAAGCTCGGGCGGCTCGGTAAAGTGCTCTGGCGTCGACGGCGTCGGTGGCACATATCTGCGCACGAGCAGCTGCAGCGCCGTTGGATCGAACACTGCCCACGCTTCGTCAGCGCTGGCTCGGACCTCGAGGCTCAAGCAGCTCCAGGCGTAGATGGCCAATGCCGCGAGCGTGCAGTGTTCACGGCCGTCGTACGTCTCGCGTGGCAGCGCCAAGTACTCGGAGTAGGCCCGCAGCCGGACGCGGTCCAGCGAGATACGCAACTCAAAGAGCGCGACGGCCTGCGCCGTCACCTCGGCGAGCGTAGCGGTCTTGGAGACATGTAGCATCTTGTGGCTGTTGTCGTGCAAGATCTTGATCTGGATCATGTCGGCGACGTTGGCCTTCTTCGTCTCTTCTGCGACGCGACGCTTGGCCCGCGCTTGCTTGTTTGCTTGCTCGCATTGCATCTCGGCGTGCACAAGATCGACGAGCCAAGAAGGTATCATGTCGTCGGGAGGACACTGGACCTTGCGAGAGACTTCGACCTGGCGGTACTGCAGCACGTACGCACACGGCGCACGCGTTGACTCGTAGTAGCCACCGTTGACCGACGTAAGGCCATACGTCGTGCGCAATTTGGCCTCGGAGATGGTCGAGACCGAAGCGTCGTTGAAGCAGAGCCAGCGACGATCGTCGTCCAGTGACGACTGGATGTACGCGACATAGTGACCGCCGTTCGCAGAGCCAGCGTGCACGAGCACTGACGCGAGCTCGTAGACAAACGGACCACAGGCCAGCATAGCAGCGAGGTCAAAGGACGGGTGCCACGTTGCTTCCGCTGCTGCTTCTTGCGTGCTCGTGGAAGACGGCGGCACCTTGGGACGGCTGGACGTCGACGGATGATACGCGTTCATGTCGAGGTACTTGGGAAACGAGACTCTGCTCGTGAGCTTCGATGTGCCATGGTCCCATGCAAAGCGTTTGAGGTGGAGTGTGAGCAGCGGCGGAAGTTGCACTAGCGACAGGCGCTTGATGGCGTCTTGCTTGGTGCCGCAGACGTCGCAGAGCCATTGGTTGTCGCTGACGAGGCGCTCGGGTGCGAGGAAGGTTGCGATGGCGTCGTCAAGACTTGTTGGTGTTGATGGAATGCTCAGCGATAGATCAAAAATATGTCATCGTGGCTGGTCTCGTGACCGCACGTGATGCATTGGACAGAGTCTGTGAGCGTGCCTACTCATTGTGTCTATTAGGAATGCCTCATCCAGATGAAAGGATGTAACCTTGGTAGAGATCATGGATGACGTTTGCATTGGGCGAGCCTTGCAGAGAGGCATCGAGAGCCTTGAAGAGAACGTGGTAGAGCTCGTGCACGTCGTGCTGCTGCAGAAGATCCGATGACGTCCAGCCAAAGCTCTGCATGAGTGAGGTTGTGTCGATGGCCTTGCGGTCGGTTCGCAGTTGGAGCCTCGCAAAGAGGAGCTGAAGCTCCCGCAGAAAGCTGCCTTCACTCGCGGACGATGTCGACTGGTACAGTTGCGTGCGCAGCTCGGGTGTCATGTAGAGCGTCTGGAGGAGGCTGTTGAGGTAGCAGGTCGCGCTGTCGTTGCGCAGGCCGCGGTACTTTGAAGCTGGCGTCGTCGTCGTCGGCATGATCGGTGCACCCGTCCCGGCGGCGTTGCGCGCGGGCGAAGAGGAGCTCGCGTCGGGGCAAGGGTCGATGGTCATTCGCTTGTCGACTGCGCTGGTTGTTGTTGGCGCGATCAATTGGCAAAGTGTGAATGATGGTCGCTTGCATTATAGTCAAGCTTTGTATGGATGTTACAAGCGCCAAGGTGTTATTTACGCGAAGGTGATTGGCAAGAGTGTTGCCCTTGGGAAGAGCTAGAGGTCTCTACGCTCGACGACGGTGGTGGCTCGATTGAATAGATTACTGCAACAATTCATCGACCTTTCATTGATCCAAACGTCATTACAAGATAAGCCTCGTCGCCTTCTTCAAACACGTGTCGAAATTTCAAGTGCTGTGGGCTTGAGCGCCATGGCCCAGCCCAGCTGCGGGACGACCGTGTTGTTGTCTTGGATGGCATACGACATGTGACCCGCCAGCATGATTGCGTCCACCTTGTTGCCGTTGTCATCAATCTCGACGTCGACGGCCGCGTAGCCCGGTGGCAGATCGTACACCGCAATGATTGGGTAGGTCGATCTCTCGCCGGAACTGGTCGTGCGCTCATCGCCCTGCCACCGACCTTTTCCGTCAAAGACGGCAAAGACGCTCACCCAGCCACTCACATAGCGTTGGCCGCAGCCTTGGTAGGTGCTGTCATAAATGCTTCGCCAAAACGCCGTGTCCGGCTCGCCACGCGCCGCCGCCACAAACTGATCGAGGACGCCGCTGAGAAGGTCGACCCACGTCTGCATACGCTCGCCATACGCTCGAAAGTGCTCGATGCGCGACCGAATTTGCTGCCAGTCGTCGACCGAGCCGAGAAGCGTCACCGTTGGAATGCCACACGAGAGTTTGATCTTGTACTGGAAGAAATTCTTCATCGTGGCCATGGTCAAAATGCTCGCCGTGATGCGATCGTGGGGCGTGGTCGTTGTAAAGTTGGGCAGCAGGACGTCGGCGAGCGCCGGGTCGACCAAGTGCGCGCGCATCTCGTCGACCAATTGAGTCGCACAGACACCAAAGTCGACCGTGTGGACCGTGCCCGCCGTTTCAATCTCGAGCTCGATCTTGCCTTGGCGGGCTTGACAAGCCGCGACCGAAGCGCTTCGCTGCTACCGTCGACGTACAGACCAAACTGGCTCGTGAGCGCCAGCCAAATGTCGTCGGGTCGCAGCACCAAGTGGAGGTGCTGGGCGTACGCTTTGCTGATGCCATCGAGAAAGCCCATCGTGGATGCAACGAATGGCATCGCGAGCGGCGACTGCTGGTGCACACGTTGACAGCCAGCGTCGACGTACTCGGGCAGTTGATCAATCGCTGTGGTGGTGTCGCGAAGCAAAGGGCCCGAAAAGTTGGCTGGCGTCACGGGCGAGACGGCAAAAGTGATGCTGCTCGAGGCTGGCGGAGGCGCCGTTGGCTGCCAGAGGAGCGCATAAGCAACGACAAGGACGGCGGCCGCGATGTGGTGCGTCGGACGGTCCACAGCCCCCATGCTTGCGAGATGGTGTTTGATAGTGAAATGGATTCGATTTTTTATCCGGACGACGGTTGATTGACTCTTTTTCCGGATCATCGGCCACGAGCTTCAACGCACGCCTGTCTGCATTGCAGAATCCACCGACGCTTCGAGATGCGGGATCGGACGACTGCACTCGTCATATTACGACAAGCAGTTTAACGTCAGGGACGAGCAGAAGCAACTCGCCAATCTTGTGTGCGTGGCGAGGATGGGATCGAGATCGGATGGCTTGGATTGGCTCAAAAAAGAGAGACCTTCGTATTGTGGATTGTGGATTGGCTCAGAAGGTCCAGGTCCAGGTTTTACACCTAATGTCCCAAAACAGCGTTATTTTAGATGTTTGCACAAGTACAACATGGCTTGCACGCAACGCGGTCGTCGGATTGTACTCACAGAATCACATGCGGTTTAATCGAGTCGTGCTCGCACCATGTGTCTCCGTACTATGACTCTGGTCGACGTAACTCTCCATGGATGACCCGCCTCGACGAGCAATAGTGATGTTGGGTTCGTTGGGTTGCCGCAGCATCACAAGGCCAACACTCTGCATGGGCAATACTCATTAAAGTATCACTCGATGTTTCTGTGCAAAAAACAAAAATACAAAGCAATCCACCATCATTCCCTCTTTGCCAGGTGATCGCGCCAACAACAACCAGCGCAGTCGACAAGCGAATGACCATCGACCCTTGCCCCGACGCGAGCTCCTCTTCGCCCGCGCGCAACGCCGCCGGGACGGGTGCACCGATCATGCCGACGACGACGACGCCAGCTTCAAAGTACCGCGGCCTGCGCAACGACAGCGCGACCTGCTACCTCAACAGCCTCCTCCAGACGCTCTACATGACACCCGAGCTGCGCACGCAACTGTACCAGTCGACATCGTCCGCGAGTGAAGGCAGCTTTCTGCGGGAGCTTCAGCTCCTCTTTGCGAGGCTCCAACTGCGAACCGACCGCAAGGCCATCGACACAACCTCACTCATGCAGAGCTTTGGCTGGACGTCATCGGATCTTCTGCAGCAGCACGAC